AAAGACCAAAGGTGAGGAAAACACCCTAGCTAGATCAATCTTTAGAGAGAAGTTATGGTTTATAGAGAGAGAAGCTCTCAATGGCCTTTTTGGAAAAGTAAGAGAGAGAAACGGGTAGCTGGGTGTGAAAAAAGTGAGCCAAAACCGCTGAATCTCGGAACTTTTACTAGTCACCCCGCTCGAGAGGCCAAACCCCCGCTCGAGCGGCACTCACAGACTCCCGCTCGAGCGGGCCAATCCCGCTCGAGCGGCGGATGCACACTTCCTGAAACTTAGGCAGACAGGTCCCCCGCTCGAGCGTCCAACTCCCCGCTCGAGCGTCACTCACGAACTCTCGCTCGAGCGGCCAATCTCCCGGCTCGAGCGTCCAAACACTGCAGGCGACAAACTGGATGGGTGATTTCCACCGCTCGAGCGCCAAAACCCCCGCTCGAGCGGACAAGCCAAAATCTGGACAACTAGACTTGGTTCCTAAGCTCGACCAACTTGTTCCAAACCTTCCCAACACAACCCAAGACTCATAAATAAAGAGTAGAGGATGCAAACGACATAAATACAATAATCAACCCCATGGAACCTAAGTCCGGATCACTGCACAACAAGGGGTAAAACCCGGGATCGCTATACCTCCCCCCCTTTAAAGAATTTCGTCCCCGAAATTAAGGAAACGTCTAAACACAAGGCCAACTGATCACACAACCCCAACACCCGAGTACTAGGGAAGAAATTACTCTCACTACAAACCTCCAATCCACTCTTACCAAAGAAGAGACTAACCACGGGAACACGTCCCAAACGACAACACTACCGGTACAAGAGTCACAACAAAACCAAATCTTTCCCGAAACAACTCACGAACAACCAACTAGCGCTCCAAGCTAAGTCACTACTCAACAACCATAATCCCGAATAGAACAACCAATGCAAGGTTTTTGTATGCATACGAAGAAAATCATTCTCGTTTGATTTGGTCAAGTCCTCTCATTGAAATTTCTCATAACATTTGAATTAAATCAACTTCTCCCCAATGCACAATTTCGTATTCAACAACTTAACCCATTGTCGGTTATCCTATCTCTATTCAAGAGACAATTTACAATATATGCTATAACATGCATTATCGACACGCATTTCTTTCAATTTCAATAACTTCAAACATGCATGGTTCTCAATTTCGAAGTACATTCACTGTGAATGATATACTTGCATTTCCACATCACATTTAACATATATAAAGCTAAATTAACTTCCATAATATTACCATAGATTGAAACACATGTAATATTCGTACAGTTCATCAATATAACCAGATATTCAACATACGTTCAAATACCTACCAATGGATCCAGATACCTCTCTCTCGGAACCGAAATTTACTTACCCAAGTGGTTTCCTCAACCCCATTACGTTTTCACAATATCTTAATGAATGGAAAAGTCCGGCTTAGTCAGACTCGATAACAATGATAATAGTAAGACACATCCAATCACCACAGTGTTCTGAGACATCCATCATGTCCCGACTACCCACGATACTTAAACTAGTATTTGGTACTTACTATCCCAACAAGGGAAACACGAAAACATTCGCACACAAGGCTTCTAGTCAACTTTCACAGAACAGGTGTAAGGCGAAGCACGGGTAAAGAACGACATTACGGTACATTACTACCCCATAAGTTTAAGGTCTTGAACAAAAAACCACTTTAGTTTACAAGGAGTACCCAATGAATCCCAAGTGAAACACAACACAGCCACCCCACAAAACCCGTTATACTCACGTTGATGACGCTGTACCCAAAAACAGAACTTTCCTATAGAGAGCTCCTAAATACTTGAAATTCCCAGTTACGTAATGACACCACCAATAACATTGTACACCCCCGTGCCTTACAACGTACTAACGAGGACCGAACGAATTAAAACGATTCCAACTGAGTACCTCACTCACTTTTCGCGACTTTCCTACTTCACTTGTGTTACCACTGTCCAAACTGGACGACGGACATTGATGCCGAAGTGGCCTAACTACACCAAACATCCAGCCTTTCGATTTCAGTCAGAAACCAAATGAACCACACACTAACACGCATCGCACTGTGCAAATCTCCCTCATCTAGAGATTCCACTCACCATCTCCACTGAACTCGAAGTAATAAAATTTGCATACCCCTTCCCTCGTACTGAGTTAACTGACAGGTTTTGTTACACCGTGATATTCAGCACTACCAAGTAACCATTCGTACCGAACACAAACTAACATAGTACCTTCATCCGCCAACGACCTATAGGGTCCACCTTTTGTTCCAACCCTAATTTGCCACTCATCCCGCGAGTACAATCAAGACACCCAGCTTCCGTACCAAACCACTGGTCAATGCTACCGCTAGACAATCACCATAAACCAACCCCGACACCGTTGCATGACGCCGATAAGGCTTTCAAAGATACACCATTCTATATTCCCGGAGGAGTAAAGGTCCTCAACCTTCTCATTACCATCCCAAACCTGACTTCGCAAAGACTTACTACAGTGACTCAACTCACGGGTCACAACCCAAACTACGGGCTATATACCCAATCAACCCTCACGACAATATCTCCCGACCTAACCAGTGTTAAGGTACAAACCTATCACTTTCGATCAAAGTAAGGAAGTCCAAAAACTTAGGATACGTCCATAAGCTACTACCTGAGATATAGCACCAGCTGCTCACAACACACCACTCCCGATGCAAACAGCCACACCCCTATATAGGGACTAACACCCCTCTATCGAAACAACCAATCACTACACATGCCAGTTCGGCAACGTTACCTACCACGAAGGTACAAATCTAATCTTAACAAGATTATGCGCTATGCCCATTGCAAAATACCATGACAAACATATACTATACCTAGTATTAATCTCATACTTCACATCCTCTCGAGGAGTTTCCACGACAGTGGACTAACATCGCTTTCACACACATAAGAATCATTATTACCAACGATTTTATGGTCTCACAACAACTTATCACATTAATAAAACTTTAGAGCTACCACATGTTCCAATCCACCCAATCCAAAGAAATTAATAAACCAGGCACATATATATAGATAAACAAACAGTTTAGATGTTTCAACATTCCCAAAACACATTGGTTACACAATAGAACCCAATGGCCACCAAACGATAATTCACTGGTTACAATACGAATTAGCCAAAAAAAACCCAACCCCTCGGTATTACTACCACTGTCGTCCCTCGCTGGACCGCCAAAAGTTGGTCATTCTCTGACCCAAGATTTTCTATGAGCTTACAAGCCACGAACAAGGACTACTGATGTACCCTAGCTGGCCACACTTGCAACAACTGCGAGTTTCCCCCAACTAGGGCTTGGGAACTCGACTCTACCGAGGCCCTCGAAATCTGTCCTGTTTGATCCCCAAAACGATACTGTTCCTGCCTATGGACAACTAGACTTGGTTCCTAAGCTCGACCAACTTGTTCCAAACCTTCCCAACACAACCCATGACTCATAAATAAAGAGTAGAGGATGCAAACGACATAAATACAATAATCAACCCCATGGAACCTAAGTCCGGATCACTGCACAACAAGGAGTAAAACCCGGGATCGCTATATTGGTAGTTGAGAGACATTGAATGTCTCGGTGAGTTTTGTGGTTCCTTAAGAGCAAATAACCAAAGGTACTATTGTGAGTCACAAGCATCAATGAAAATATATATATAAAAACAAGAGAATAATTTTCAAAAACTAAAGTCAAATAAAAGGATCACACATCCACCAATTCAATAATTTAAAATTTTACACTTTCTTTACATCGTCTCAATTACCAAACAAACTAAAGCACACCCACAATTTTAATTTCTACACCTTCACATTATCTCAACTACCAAACAAACTAAAGCTTTCAACCCAAATAAAACCAAACCAAAAAAAAAAAAAAGTAAAACACAAAACTAGCTAACAAAAACAAAAAAGAGATCTCATCTTCTTCCTCAATGCGAGGTTCTACAAAGCAAATAAAACTACCAACACCATCGATGGACACAATAATACTCCAAAAAAAATCAATCTAAGGTTTTAGATTTTTAGATAATATAGATCAGAAAAATCACTCAAGTTCTTGTGGACCTCGTTAAGCTCACGGTTCACGTTAATCGTGCAATGAAGGTAATGCACAACTTTCATTGCACATTGATGACAAATTCATATCCAGCACAAAACTTGTAATGGATCCTGACTCAAACCAATCTAGTCAAAAGGATAAAACCAAATCAAATATATAGCTTAATTTATTGATAATTCAACTCTGGCGTGACTTCTATATACTGAATTCAGACCACATCAACATTTCAAACCATTAGTTTGTACTCCATAGTTTCTGTAAATCGATTCATTCATGTTAATGTCCACAAATCAATTCATCAACATTTCAGCTATTTGAATAGGGTTTCCTATGTTTTTACTTCAATTCCATCAATTATGCATCAACTTCAGCACTCAAAGAAACCATTTGTTTCTGAACACAAGTTCCAGCAGTTTAAAGTCACTGATTACTACAGCTGTTAAAACAGAAGGGCATGAAATTGTGCAGTTTTCAACTAAGGGGTAGCTAGCTGTATAGGTGACCTCCTTCAATAACTATAGTAAGGAGTGACCCCATTTGATGGCTCTATTGTAATTTTTTAATCAAGGGCACCAATTCTCTCTATAAACATGGAGTGGCAAAAGTATAATCAAGCAAGTTAACCAAAAAAATTGTCTATTTATTAACAAAAAGAAGTGAAGCTATGATGGGTACTTATAACCAATGTGATAAAAAGAATATGGATTGCTATTGTGCATCATAAAAGAAATGAAGCTATGCTTGGTACATACTAACATAAATATTGAGTTATCTAACATAAATTAAACTCTACCTAAAAAAAAAAAAAAAATAGAAATTGACAAGTATTTTAATGTTATTGAACTATAAAAGTAAGAGATACCCATTCAAATAGCTGAAAGTTCCACCTCATTGTATTGCTGCATGTATCTCTGCAAACCCACCAATTAACAATTGGATTAAGATACCACAATAAATGATTCTATTCTGAAAATAAATGTATTTTAAAGCAATTCTCTATCATTACTCCAGCATGAATCTCAGATTTAACACTTCATTTTTTTTGCAATTCTTTATTGTAACTCATTCAACCACAAAACATAAAATAACACAAACAATCAAGGCTTAAATGGTCTTCAAAATCACATAATCTCATAAATTACACCTTAAAAAAAAAATCAAGTCTTTCTTCAAAGGAAATGGGACTGTATGGAGATGGGTTTTCGATTTTTTTACTTAATCATACAAAAAAATTCATGTCCTCTGCTTGAAAACCCTAAATTTGAAAATTTCCTCTCAGCACAGACAAATCGCAGATAATAACAGTAAAAGTAAGGGCTTTGGGCGATTATGAACTACATACATACCAGTTTGTAACCGAGCTCGAATACATCTAGGTTGTTTAAGTTGGAGATGACGGTGGCAGGAAGTGTAGGATCTCTTGAGAGAGAGTGACACCTAGAGGGTTAAAATCAGGGCTCCGAGATAAAACAGAATAAGGAAGAGAAAACAGAATAGGGGAGAGAGAGAGAGAGCGTAATTTCTCAAAATGTTAGTGCTGAAGAAAAGGTCTAGGATTTGTCCCAAAAAAAACAAAAAATTAGGAGGGAATTTTGATTTGGACAAAATTTCGGGTGTTTGTTCCAAATGTTTTACAATTATTTGGGCGAAAATTATGATAAAATTGATAATTTTCTTCTAGTAACAATTAAAAAAATTCATGATTTGAGTATTATAATAAAATAAATTATTAATTTTTTATTTTATTAATTAAAATTCTAAATTTTTAATTTGTTTTTAATATAAATTATTCGTTTATTTTTGTATATTATATTCATCAATCACAAAATGTATAAGCACACCACTAACTGGTGTAACAAGAAGTGTTTGGTAGAGTTTTAGAATTATGATTTAAATGTAGAGTTGTATTTTGAGTTTGTGAATTTTTGAATTATGATTTGAAAAGAGAAAATTTATTTGGTTGAGTTTTGAAAAAATATTTGAATTGAGTTTTAAATTTTTGAAATGAATTTTTAAATTATAAAAGTTGTTTGATTCAAAAACTTATAACTCATAATTAAACACACAATTCAAAATTTTATTCAAAACTCATTACGAAATTCTTTTTAAAATACAATGCAAAAATAATAATTATTGATAAAACAATTTTTTTATTTACAAAATTTTGAAAAATTCCAAAAATATTTTTTATTTAAAATATAAAATATATATATTATTTTTTGTTAAAAAAAATCAAAAAGAAATTCTTTTTTTTTTTTTCAAATAGCAATACTAATAGCACCCCCCCAAAAAAAAATATATATTCCGATCCATCGGCCGGACATCAGAGAGTTTTTAATCTACTTGTATTCATGTCAAAATGCTAGGAAATGATCTATGATCATGACCAGGTGATAGTTTGAAAGTTTGGACAAAGAAAGTTGCAATTGAGGTTGTTTCTTGTACTCAATTCTTGAAGCCTCGTTTTTAAATCATTACTTTAATAAAAGACTTCCATCATTCCATACCTTTTTTTGTTTATAGAATTTATTAATAAACTTCCTACCATATCTTCGAAACCTCATTTCATGGAAACCCAATAAATATGTTTTCCCCTACAAAATCGCCTTGGGTGTCCACAAAGAACAAATGAGGGTCATTTAATCAATAAAATTACAACATTTTCCTTTCTCCAAGGCCAAAAGTTTCAACTAGAGTGTAGCCATAATAATAATAATGTTTATAAATAAATAAAATAAAATAAAAAAGCAGAGAGATGGTAGTCTTACAATTTATGAACTTCAAATCAGTTGTGTCAATTCAAGTAATCCTTTAGGCTTCGTCAAAATCTGTTGCAAACCTATATTTCAACCAAAGGAAATATGTCAATGTGAGTTGTAGTTATAAGATAAAATCAAAAAAAAAAAAAAAAAACTAAAACTCATTACCGTGAAAGTATAAACTCCCTCTATGTCAAATTTGAACATATAATGTACTAAATATTTCTAGTAAAATTTTCTATATATGAAATTTATTCATTTCATCCATGTATAGCAACATGATGATTGCTAGTTACTGAAGAAAGCAAAAACATTCAAACTAAGCAAATAAATGAAAACAAATCTAACCCCAATAAAAAAAAAAAATCAGATTCTAGCTCAATAATCATATTCAAGCTCCCCAACACAAAGATTTGAACATGCGAAGTGTGTGTGCTAATTTCTGACTACACTGCCATACAGGTACTCAGCTGGAGAACACCAGTAGAATAGATTTCACCTGAACGACCTGTCACAAAAAGATAAGACTCCGGCGGTGGTTTGTCCACCCGGGGCACTCTGACGATCAAGTCAGTACTCCATTATTTCTCAAAGATAGTAAACAGTGCTTAACTCACTAGCCAGAATATCAAAAGCGTACCTTAAACCCACGAGGGTGCCTTACTTTTATAGCCAGCACTAACCTGATCTCTGTAGAAGCCTAACTTCTCTGGGACTCTAGCTCAATACTAATCCTGGACTCTCTAATAAATAAAGATAAACTCCATAAGAGCTTTATCCTTATCCAGGCTGAGGTCCTCCTCCACTCTAGGACTCTTATAGCTTATCCGTTCATCTCGGATTCTGGTATCTCCACAGATAACCTCGGCCTAGCCGAGATAACCTCGGCTCCATGACCAAGACATGTGGCACCTCGGCTAACCCTTCGGTGCTGCCCTGGGCCATGTGTTGCCATTCACAAAATATGCACCCACAACTGCCCCCTAGGTTCTATTACCTTGACATCCTGAGGTGATGGAACCTATATCGTTTATTCATATAACACATCGGCAAAGTCTTGCTCTATCCTTCATTTCTGTTTTCTCAAAACTTTCTGCAATTGTTTCTGTTCTTCCCCTCCAGCGAGGCATTCATCGTTCTACTTCACGCACCACCATCATCTGATTCCGGCGTACTTCACACCGGCGTTATTTTCTTTGGTAAGTCACTGTTTTCCCCCTTTTTAGTTTCAAACTCTGTCGCTTTTATTCATTGCCATGGTGAATTCATTCATGTTCTTCAGACTTTGCCTGTGTTTTGAATTTCGTCATTCATGTATCAAGCATGTTTGTCTGTGATTTTGCTTTTGTTCAATTTTTTCCTGGGTATATGCATACACATACATACTTGTTATTTTTCCACTGTCCTTGGTTTTGTATATCTGCACATACTTTGTATAATGTTCTTGAATTTCCATTCGTTTTTTTCTTGAGTCTGAATCACGCTCCTGTTTCTGTTTTCTTATTGCATTTGCCAGATTCTTGCCTCAAATTCCCTGTTTCCACATAGGTTTAGGCTTGGGTTTTGATAGAAATTACTATCCGTAGGAAAATTGGAACAAATTCCCCTAGATCTTGAAAAACCCTTGCCCCAGTTTCTATTTAGGGCTTTAGCCGAAGTCCGTCAAACCCGTACCAGCTATTTTTCCCCTAGAATCTTGTACTTTCCTCCTTTGGCCGACGTCATGGGTATGTTTAGGTGAAGGGTAGATATCCCAGAGAAGCTCGAATACTTAAGGAAAAAGTTCTCCATCCCTGCCGACGTCCATCTTAGGTTGGCTGGGGAGGAGGACTCCATCATGCCCGATAACAAGTTCATGCCATTCCCAGTAGTCGCTTTCATAAAATGTGGACTTAGGTTTCCTCTCGACATCCTCTTTCGCCAAGTCTTTCATTACTACAAACTTAACCCAATGCAGCTAGCCATTAACTTCTACAGAGTCATTAACGGTATAATTTCCCTAGCTAGCTGAGAAAACACTAGGATAACACTAGCCGACATCTAATACTGTTACACCATGTGTGGCCTGAAGTCAGAAGAGGGCTACATCTATTACCTTAAGCTGAGATCCACTAAATAAAAACTAATTCCCAACCTCCCAGACTCCAACAAAGGTGCTGGAGATGATTATTTCATCGTCTTGGGCAACTGGGAGTTCCCACCAGATGATGACCTTCATCTCTACCCCTTGAGCCGATCAGTCTTTAAAGAGGGTAATGGTAAGAACCAAGTGTCACTTTACCTGTTTTCAAGTCTTTACTACGTTGTTATTTTTATATGTTCTAATGTCTATTTTTTACTTGCAGCTCTTCCTTAGCCTTCAAAGGACTTCCGCAAAACCTTCTATCCCAGCAAAGACTTCAAGAAGCTGCTGGGCTTGCCTGTTAATCAAAGGCCCCTCTGCTGCTCAACTACATCCCGACTTATAAATCAACCTTGCCCGACGTCCCTAAGAAGAGCAAGTCTCTACCTTCAGCAACAACTCCCCAAACTACTTCATCACCACGACCAGACCAAGCCTCAACTTCTAACCCAACAGAACAACCATCAATATTTGCTCCCCAACTGATTCCTCCAGCGCAGCGTCGACGCCGTCACCGAGTTCCCATCATTGCTCCTGCAGGCAGAACTCGTAGCCGAAAATGCCAGAGCGCGGAGTCGTCGGCTTTCAATCCGGCTAACCCCCCCACTGCTCTTCCAGTAATCCACTTTGGCACAAAAGTCACTGTTGTCATCGCCGCCGACAAGATTGGGCGCACCAAGGCTGTCGTCGAAGACCTTCTAGCCGACATCCCCAACGTTGTCACAGTTCAATCTTCACCATCACAATCCCAACCACAGGCTAAGCCAAAACGGGTGAAGAAGGCCAAAGCCAAGGCAACAGTGACTCAGATCGACTCTGAGGACACTTTGCCTATATCCAAGCTGGCTGAGGTTGAGAAAAGCACCTCCGCCGCCGAGAAGAGGACCGCCGAGGCTAATCCCTTTGAATCTACAAAGTCAAAGAAGTCGAGGTCAGACTCCGTAGCCATCTCGGGTTCTCTTAAATCTAATGACCCCTGGGCCCCCTTTATCATGATTGAGGACAAGTCAGTTAGAGTCGGCGATAACGCTTCTGATATTGAGGTCAGTGTTGCCCTCTCCACTGCGTTGCTCCTTCCCAATGACCTCAACCGTATGGTCGAGGTCAGCGAATATGAAAATTTCGCTCTGATGGTGCAGCATTCTGTACAAGTAAATTCTTAACACTTGGTACTCTCCATTCTTTGTTTCCATACTAAAAAAGTTCACTAACTTTGTTTATTCCATTTTTTCTAGGCGATCCAGTACGCCCACTCATTTGCGATGTAGGCTGAGGACATGAAGAAGGAGTTGGTCCGCAAGACCAAGGAGGCTACTGGCTTGCTTAAGTCATTAAACAACGCCGAGGCCAAAATGAAAGCCTGGATAGATCAAGCCAAGGCAGCAAAACAATCCCAAGACCAAGCCGAGGAAAAGGCCGGTGCTGCAAAGGTTGTTGTTGAGGTTCTCAAAGCTGAAATAAAAGAGGCCGAAGCAAAAACTGCAGAAAGCCCAAGCAGAGCTCCGAAGTGCCCTGGCTACAAAAGAGGCTGAAATCAAAGTAGCGGACGAGAATGCCTATATCGAGGGGGCAGCCGACGTCCGCGAGGATTACAAGAAACATGTCCGATAGGCATGCAACAAGGGTTTCACCCTTGGTTGGATGGCTGCCCTGAAGGAGTTGGCTATCCCCGAGGACTCTCCCCTCAGGGATGAAAGCCGACTTGCTTTTCCATTCCCCCCCGCT